GCAGTTGCAAGTCTAGTTTTTTTTTTTAGCAAACTGCCAAGTTGTACTCCCAAGGGGCTGTATTACCTTCCTGCTGGCCTCGTATGCTTGATCCAGTTTCTGTGCATCCTTGCCCACCTGTGAGGTCCTCACCACTGTAGGCTTTAGTCGTTCTCATAGGTGTGTGGTGATACCTCATTGTGGCTTTAATTTGCATTTTCCTAACAGCTAATGATGTTGAATGCCCCTCATGCTTAAGAGCCATCTGTGTATCTTCTTCAGTGAACAACTTTCCAGTCTTTATCCTGCTTCCTAATTGAATTGTTTGGGGTTTGTACAGTTGCCTTGTTTGTTGGTACCGAGGATTGAACCCACATAGAGAATGTTTACCATTGGCCCACATTCCCCAGCCCTTTCTATTTTTCATTTTGAGACAGGATTTCAGTAAGTTACTGAGGCTGGCCTTGAACTTGCCATCCTCCTGCCTCAGTCTCCCGAGTCACTGGGATTATAGGTGTGCACCTCCACACCCATCTACACTGTTGAATTTTGAAGGTTCATAATCTATCACGAATATTAATTTTTGCCAGGTGTGTGGCTTGAAAAGGTTTTCTCCTGATCTACAGCTTATCTTTTTATAATGGTCATTTGTGAAGTGAAAGTTCTTAATTTTGATGAAGCCCAAGTTGTCGATTTGTCTTCTCAGAGGTTGAACCCATTGCTTAGGTTCTGAAGACTTTCTCCTCGAAGAAGGGAAATAACAAAACCAGTGTTTATGATTTCCTCTTGGGGCTGGGAGAGGTCTAAGGGATATGCTTTTAAATTCTAGTCATTGTAGGTTCCTTGATATTTGCTTGAAAAGGGATAGGAAAGCAGAGCACTTACTAAAACAAAATAAGGAACAGTATTAACAGCAGCCAAGACTCTCTCCAGGGAAATATGAATTTTCTGTACTAAATGGAAAGGTTGAACACTGCTCCATGCAGTTACGTGAACCCTCACACGGCCAACAGTTAACACTGATAGGAAAGCTTTGAATCCTTAATAAAACAGAAAGATCCTCAAAGCCAGTCATTTCTCCCCCTCAGATGCCCATCTATTTTAAGACTGAATACATCTGCCTGCTGAGCAGTTCATTTCCAGAAGTTAGTAAACATTGCAAAGTTAGTTTCAAAGCATATGGCAGATATTTAGCAAATGTTTGGGCTTTTTCCTCCCAAAACAATGATGTGACTTAACAAGAAAACTAAGTTTTCAAACTCTCCCACTAGAATATTCTTCCTATTTCACAGGGTGGAAGTCCATACAGGCGGTTGAGGACAGGTGGCCCTGGGAATGGTCCATTCTCCAGCACAGCTCTTTTGTTAATATGCTTCATAATTTACATGTTTATAGACATTTTTCAAATGTGTCCAACTTAAAATTTTTAATTAGGAAAAAAATTAAGCACACTTTCTTGATTGAAGTCACAGTTTTGGGGGTGGGGAGAAGCAGCCCTGCAGAGTCAGCACCTCGTGGCCCGTCACAGAAGGGAACAGAATCAAGACAGGACATGACTGTGTTAGGGTTACACAATTTGCGGCGAAATGACAGCCAGGATTAATTCCTCTCCCAGGTGCATAGATCAAACCTTCTGGAATCAGATTCTCAGAGTTTCGTACATGTTTGCAAGACTCGTGGGTCTCTAGCCTGCCAGGTAAGCTTGTGTTCACAGATGCAAGAGTCAGCAGGGAAAGAACAGGACGTTGGTGTCACCTGGCACCTTCAAACCCACTAGGTTACTCAGGGGTTCCTTGGACCTCTTAAGAGAGCCGGGAATAAGATGATGGCGGCCCACAGGCTCGGTGGTCCCGACCCAGGGGGCGCCAAGGGAACAGCTCTGGGCATATGATGGGTGTTCGTGAACAGTGATTAAACACTTTTAAATATGCTGGGGACTTGGGCTTTCTTCCTTTCTCAATCTTCCATTCCCATTCGGAGCATTCGTCAACCTGACAGCATGTTCTCTGACTTCATGGACACTGATGAATTGTGACTCTGCTGTCCCGTCATCCTGATGATGTCCAGCTTCTCCCTCACCCAATCAGGCTTCCAAATGGGAAGCTTCGACAGGGCCCTTCATCTTGTTTATGTGGACACTGACCATGTACATCACAGTCATAATGAAAGGACCCCCAAATAGTAGTCAGTCCACTCCCAAATCAGCTGCTGTCTACTGTAAACATGATTTAAGAAACGCAAGATATTTATTCCATGTAGGTCTTTTCATGAGAAAATGCTCTTTATACCATTGTTTTTAGGTGAGTTCTTTACATTCAATAAATTATTATAATAGAAAAAGGGGGAGGAGACTTGATCCTTAGAGTTCACAGTTACATGGATGTAAAGGCTCTCTCCCAGAGAGTGTTAGGCTCTTTCAGCTAATAGAAGTTGACCACACCTGAAATGTTCTTCACAGTTTCATTTGTGATAGTAAAGACTAGAGAGTCCGGAATTAGTAAGTCAGTTAAGTATATTTTGGTACGTCAGTATATGAAAAGTTTTGCAGCTTTTAAAATAAATGTGGTGGGTCTATTCAAGCTGCTGACCTGTTATTAAATAAAGTCATGAACACAACATTTGTGCTTTAGGAAAGTAAGGGATTACACACACAGGGAAATACGAATTGTCTTTACTGAATGGAAATGTTGAAAACTGCTTCCTACAGTTATATGAACCCTCACATGGCCAAAATTCAACATTGATAGGATAATAAAACAGTCTTCAATCATTCATTTTAATATTGGTTTTATGTAACTATGTATCTTGTCATGGTCACCTCTAGAGAGGAAAATGGAGGGATAAACTAAGCCCCCTCTTTCCTTCCAAGTGTCCCTTCAGATCACTTCCACAGAAAGGCAGCCTTTGCCAGTAAAACACTGCATCCTCCCCTGCTACCCTGGGACGGAAAGGGGTCTTAGCTTCTGGCTTTAGTCTAGAGGGTGAAGGGCCAGTAAGAATGGTCCCTGGAGACTGCAGCCTTCAATTTCCACTCTTCTTGGCCATCTTGAGGTGCTTCTATAGATTTCGAAAGATTAAAGAAATAACTGGGTCAAAAGGTGGTTCCATTCCCAGATTTCCAAGGAGTCTCCATACTGCTTTCCATATTGGCTGCACCAATTTGCAGTCCGACCAGCATGTGTGAGTGTGCCTTTTCCCTACATCCTCACCCACACTTATTGTTGTTTGTGTTCGTAATAGCTGCCATTCTGACTGGAGTGAGACGATATCTCAGTTTTGATTTGCATTTCTCTAATTGCTAGAGATGATGAACATTTTTCATATATTTGTTGATTGTATATCATCTTCTGAGAAGTGTCTGTTCAGGTCCTTGGCCCATTTGTTGATTGGGTTATGTTTTTTGGTGTTTCACTTTTGGAGTTCTTGATATACCCTAGAGATTAGTGCTCTATCTGATGTGTGAGGGGTAAAGATTTGCTCCTAAGATGTAGTCTCTCTATTCACCTCACAGATTGTTTTTTTTTTTTGCTAAGAAACTTCTTATTGATTCTTGATTTCATTGATTTATTGATTCTTGATTTTAATTATTGTGCTATAGGAGTCTTATTAAGGAAGTTGAGGCCTAATCCCACATGATAGAGATCATTTGACCCATTTGACCATTTGACCCAGCTATCCCACTCCTCTATCTACATCCAAAGGACTTAAAAACAGCATACCACAGGGACACAGCTACATCAAGGTATATAGCAGCATAATTCACAATAGCTAAATTGTAGAAACAACCTAGATGCCCTTCAGTAGATGAATGGGTAAAAAAAAATGTGGTATATATACACAATGGAATATTACTCAGCAATAAAAGGGAATAAAATCATTGCATTTGCAGGTAAATGGATGGAGTTAGAAGAGATAATGCTAAGTGAAGTTAGCCAATTCCAAAAAAACAAATGCCGATTGTTTTCTCTGATCTAAGGAGGTTGATTCATGGTGGGGTAGGGAGGGGGAGCATGGGAGGAATAGATGAACTCTAGATAGGGCAGAGAGGTGGGAGGGGAAGGGAGGGGGCAGGGGGTTAGACGAGGTGATGGAGTGTGGTGGTCATCATTATCCTAAGTACATGTATGAAGACACGAATTAATGTGAATATACTTTGAATACAACCAGACGTATGAAAAGTTGTGCTCTATATGTGTAATATGAATTGTCAAAAAAGATTAAAGGAAGCCATTCAGAACAAATCCTACAAAGGGCCCCAAGACAAGGTTCTCTGAGGAACTGGGTGGAAATCAGGAACCAGAGCCTAAGAGCACAAGTCACCCATCAGCTGCTTCTTCCCTCCTCAGAGGAGCAAAAAATTAACTTCTTGTTCTAATAATTGAGAATAAGTTACATGAACTAAAGAACTACTTTCAACCTATAAACAATAAGAAATAAAGTGGCTTCCAAACCCAAGTATCTACACAATGTTCACGGCATTTACCTCCCCTTCAAGGCTAAAAACGGCCAAGGACCTGATGTTGTCCCTCAATGGAAGGGTTCAACAAGATGCCGTCTATCCATACAGTGGAACATTTTTAACAAGGACAATCCAAGTTCTGCCACATGGATGAACCTCAGGAAGAGCATGCTTCATCCAGGAAGCCACTCACAGAAGACCGCATTCCAGAGGTGGCAAATCCAGACACAGGTGCAGGGGAGTGGCTGCCTGGGGTGCAGGGGAGGGCATACCTGTGGATTCTTTATGGGATGTTGAAATGTCCTAAAATTATACTGTATTGATGGATGTACAACTCTAACATTGAAAACTGATGAACCATAATCTTAAATGAATATATTTTATGTGAACTATATCCAATAACGCTATTAAAGAAGTTCATAGTCTACACATGTAAACTTACACTAGGTGGGAAAAAAAGCTCAATTGATATAACTAATGACTCAAAAAGTTCTCCAGTTAAAGGTCAAATAGACTTTAAACCCAGGAATACCTCCAAAAAACTCACATCAACAATTCAAAATTCCAAATGCATAATAATTGACTTTATTGTCATCAACACATGATCTATATAACACCTTTCAATTCTTCCTGTTATCAAAATACCCATAATTTTCTGAGGAATGGGGCATTTCACTTCCTGGGGCCTCTTGAGGCAGCCAGAGACTAACTTGCCTGTGTCTAGAGGCTTCAGAGTCACTCCTCTGCAGGCTCAGTCTGAGGACATGGGAAAGGACATAACAAGAGAAGGTTCTTTAGAAAATAGCATTGGCCAGGAACTGGTCTAAACCGGGGGGCTGAGGCAGGATTGCTCCCACTGCTTAGTCAGCTGGGTAGAGTCCAGACACCTGCACCCTTAGACAAACTCCCTGCGGATGAGACAGGGCCAGCTCAAGAGCTCCAGTCTGGTAGATCCCTCCTTGCTCACTGGCAGGAGGGGGTCAGGAATGAGAGGGCTACTCTTCTCTTGCTGCATCTTCATAGATACTCTTGATTTCCCGCAGCTGTACCTCTTGCAGCAGGATAAATTAGATGTGATAACCTCTGAAGAGTTGGAATGCAGTGATCACGCGGCTCACACATCAAGCTCACACAAAACACGTTTTGTGTTCTGGTGGGATGATGCAGAATAGTGAGCGTGTCTTTGGAAGTCTTTAAAATGTGATCTTTGTTCTATGGTCAAGAGAATAATGGAGTCTTAGGGTGATATGTAAACTGGCTTTCATTCAATACAAACATTACAAACTTCCACCTTCCCAGAAATGGTCACCTTGTCGTTACCACGCATTCCATGGACTCTGCCGCGTGAGCATTTGGACCTGTTTAAGGCACCCAGCAAAGGTCGAGAAGCCCTCCCTCCAAACCTACATCATCTTAGAAATGCTTAAACTACTTCCACCCTCCACCCAGTAGTTCAAATGAGCTGCCGGAACGTAGTCCAATCAGCCCTTCAACTCTAAAGAGTGCAGGTGCCCTGGGTCCTGTCTGTCCTCCCAGGCAGTCAGGACACAAGGGCCCCTCCTCTGAAGCCTCAGTTGGTCTGGGCAACTCTGGTGTCAGAACGGTGGAAGTTCAGCATCTTCGTCACCAACTCTGGAAGATCAATGTCGTGTCTCCACCCCCAGTCCTTCCGGGCATTGCTGTCATCCAAGTTCATGGGCCAGCTATCCGCTAGGGAGAGAGGTTATTCAGACTCTGGATTTGCCGAAGTTCTACAGCGTTTTATGTGAAGGTTGATTGTACAAGGAACAAAAAAAGCAGAACTACTACTATACACACACAGTCACCCTCTTGGAAGGTCAGACTAGACAACTACCGTCTGACACTGATTTTCATGTTAAAACCCCTCTCTCTCTTATATATTATATTATATATATATATATATAAATAAATAAATATGATATATATCATATATTTATCACATACATATTATATCACATATATAATATATATTATATCATATATATAAGATATCTATATCTTAAATCAATATATAAAATTATATATATAATTTTTTTAAACCAAAAATTGAACAGGGACACTCAACCACTGAGCCCCATCCCCAGCCTCTTTTTTTTTTTTTTTTTAATTTTGTTTAGAGACAGGGTCTTGCTGAGTCGCTTAGTGTCGCACTAAGTTGCTGAGGCTTTGAACTTGTGATCCTCCTGTCTCAGCCTCCAGAGCCACTGGGATCTCAGGCGTGCCCCACTGTGCCCAGCAAAACCTCACAGTTCTTAAGGGAGGAATCTTATACCCAACGAGGAAAGTTAAATAAAAAAGTGGCGGTTAGAGTATGTGAAAACTTAGGGCTGCTCCCATACTTTCTCAGTTGCTTCCTTTTCCCCCCGTTTTGCATTTAATCTGTAGGATGCTGCTGAGCCATTCCCTTGGAATGGAATCATTTTACCCACTTAGATCATATCTCAAAAATCAAAGCATCTGCTAACTAGCTCAACAGCAGCTGATTCTGCAGCACGCATCTCGGCCCTGGGGTGAGAGCTGCAGGCTCCTCGGCCTTCCCCGGCTGATGTCCTCAGGACTCATGGTGCACGCCAAAGCTCAATTTTGACTGTGCTGGTTGGCAGTGGTTGACCCACCTATGGCCTGCCGCATAGGGTCCACGTGGTAGGTGATCTGGAACTCCGGCAGGTGCCTGCGGACCTCCTGGGCCAGCTCCTCGGGGGTGAAGCTCATGGCGCTGATGTTGTAGGTCCTCATGGAGAGAGACTCTGCGGGGGCATTCATGACCTCCAGAGTGGCCCTGAGGCAGTCGCTGACGTCCATCATCGGAAGCCTGGTGTTGGCCTTCAGGTTGCACTCAAATTTGCCCCTCCTTGTGGCCTCGTGGAAAATATGGACTGCGTAGTCTGAAAGAGAATCCGTCTGTGGGTTTTTCTTATGTCAAAACCGTGCAGGAGCCTCTTGGACCAAGGCAGCAGCTCTGTAATGTTTTAGTCCCAGAACCTCTTCAGGCTCTTAAAAATGTAGGACTCCCAGAGATTTGACCCATGCAGGCTCTATCAAGATTCACTGTCTGACACAGGTAAACGAAAATTTTTAGAATGCAAACCAGAAAGTTCTAAAATGATATGAATAACCTATTACATATTGATATGTGTGATATTTTATGGGAAAAAGAACATCATTTTCAAACAAAGAAAGTTTACTGAGAAGAACAATCTGTTGTACATTTTAAGAAACTCTGGAGCTGGGTGCAGTGGCGCACGCCTGTAAATCCCACTGGCTCAGGAGGCTCAGACAGGAGGATTGTGAGGTCAAAACCAGCCTCAGCAAATTAACGAGGCCCTAAGCAACCTAGCAAGACTCTATCTCTAAATAAAATACAAAAAAGGGCTGGGGTTGTGGCTCAGTGGTTAAGTGCTCCTGAGTTTAATCCCTGGGACAAGGAAGGAAGGAAGCAAGGAAGGAAAGAAAGAAACAAAACTCTTGGGTTTAGCAGGAGATAGCTGAAGCGTCTACCAGCTTCTACATTCAGCCTGTTCTGCTATAGCACACACCTCTGGGAAGCTCCATGGTGGCTTGAGCGGGGGAAGGAAAGTGGCTAATAATGTCCCTGTACTGGTATGGGTAGTGTTGACCCCTGGATTCCTTGAAAGAATCTCAAGGATGCTCAGAGGCCCCTGAGCCACACCTGAAGAGGCTCCACATGAAGGTAGGAGCTTTTCTAAAGTGACCAAAACCAAAGTCACCTTTAAAGTCCCTCAGGTTTTGTCAAGTAGCTTTTACACTACACCTCAGGACCACTGAATGGGGAGGATCCCCGACATGACGGTTGCTGAATGTCACGCACGCCTGAGTCCAAAATAGCACTACTTAAGGGCACTTTTCAAATGTGCAACGTGCAGGGTCCCTTCCAGCCAGCTGTTCTCTATTAAGAAACAAGGGCTGTATTCAAGGAAGCTGATGGGGGTCTTCTACATCTCGAGTCACACATCTGTCCTCGAGCAGTGTCTATTTCACCCCAGCACTGTGGCGGCAATGCCAAAGCTGACTGCCAGCTCCTGCACATGCCCTGAGCAAGGGCAAGTCGATAGGGTCTGCTGTGCACAAGAGCACACACCTGGGAGAAGGCAAAGAGCTGCAGGTGTTCCTTACACACTAGAGACAGGGCCGTTCACCACCAAGGAGACACTTCCCGGCAATAAGTGAGCCTATCTTACACATAAAAGAAATCAGAAACCCTTCTTACCAGTTGTTCCTCCCCCAGGCTCCGAGTCAGCAGAAATGATCCCAGGGTACCGCAGGCAGCGGAAATCTAACCCGTACCGGTAATAATAGTACTATGAAAAAGAGACAGCTGACTCAGAAAAGGATCTTTAAATCAGATAGAACAAAGCCAAACATTTTTTTAAGTTTTGTTCTTTTTCCGAATATCATTCCATACAGCTATATTAAAATATTCCTAAAGAAAATGAAGAGTTTAGAACTTCCTAGAGTCATTCACTCATCTTGAACACTCTTCTGTCTTTATCCCAGAGAATCACCGTCGTGGTGACCCAGCAACTCTGCCAACAACAACCCAGCCTCCAGCAGGGGTCTGCTGCCTTTCACTGCCCTGAGCCTCAGGGTTCATCTGCTCATGCAGCCTGGCAAAGAGCGGAGGGGGGGGGCAGAGGCCAGAGCATGGCCAGACCCAGCAGCCGAAGGATCAGATGTTGACTCGGATTCACTATAGAGGCCAGGCACCTGGTGCACACCTGTGATCCCAGCAGCTCAGAGGCTGAGGTAGGAGGACCGAGAGTGCAGAGCCAGCCTCAGCAACTTAGTGAGGCCCTAAGCAACTCAGTGAGAATATGTCTCTAAATAAAATACAAAAAGGGCTGGAGGATGTGGCTCAGAGGATGAGCACCCCTAGGTTCAATCCCTACCAAAAAAAGAAAAAAGAAAAGAAAAAGATACTATAGAGATATAAAGACAGAGTAGGAAAAAAAAAAAAGGCTTGAGGTTTTCCAGAACTCCGGGCACTGGTCGCCTAAAACAATGGTGCTCAGGAACAGGGCTACAGCAAGCAAAGGCTTCGCAGCCACTTACCCTTCAGGAAGTGCCCAGTGTCACTTACTGTTCAGGAAGTGCCAGGCCACAGGGGGTCCTTAGGTGCCTGCCACTTGGCAAA